TTAAACTTTTAAATAGAATTGTTATTTTTTTATGTACTTATTGCCTTTGACAATTTTGACAGTTCATGCCTTTTTTTTAATGTTGCTTCATCTTATATAAATATTTAAAATTATAGTTTTTTTGACCAAATATTATCTTCATAAATGTTATGTATTTTGATTCTTACAGTAATACTTTGTAAAGATCCTGGTGACATAAAGTTTGGTATTTTTTTRGAAGACAAGCGATATTACAAAGTCGGATCGACGATCACCTATCGGTGTTTCCCTAATTATGAACAGGAAGGGRACAACAAGCTATTTTTTTCTAAAGCAGGGACGTGGAGCTCACCACCACCAAAATGCAGTCGTGAGTAAGATCAGTACATGTAGTATCAGTTAGGAACGAACCTTTTTTTTCCCATCCACAATGAATGCAGGCTAGCCATTTAACTTTTATTTTTTTGGGTTGATGAAAATGTATAAAATTGAATGATCTCATGACGTGCTTGCTTATAAACGGCATGTGATTTTTCACGTGATCTCCCATCTTTTTTTCTTAATCAGAAAACAATTTKCAGCGTGTAATACTCGATCTTTTTTTCAAAGGTAAATTTGGTGGGATGAAGTGTTTTGGCGTCGATTTTTTTTAGATGATAATCGTTGTTAGATTCCACCTGTATGGGCCCTTTTTTTCCTAGAAATGGTGTAGTTCTTACTCCAGTCAAGAGGGTATATCAGGCAAACGAAGTCATAAGGTTTACGTGTAAMATAAAAGACATTTTTTTTGGAAATCAGAACTAACCTGTCAACGAGATGGGACTTGGTTTTTTTATACCTAAGCCACTTTGCAGCTTAGGTATATGTGATTTATTTTTTTGTGTCATGGGAGTAATCATATATATAACATATACGTATATTTTTTTATGTAATTCAGTATTATGGTCTCTTAGGTGAAGGTTTTTTTTTTTTTTGTCTTTAACAGAACCATGCCCAACACCTGCACAACCAAAAAATGGTATCCAACTCGGTAACAACTTTGCGCATGGTCATAGAGTTTTTTTTCGATGCAAYACCGRTCATAAACGTATTGGTTCATTTGTTTTTTTTTGCAACAATGGAAWATGGACCAAYAAMACTCCAAAATGTTTTTTTTTGTGACCATTAAGGTTAATCTAATCTGAGACTCAGAAGTTTTTTTTGTCTTTTTTTCGTTTCGAAGCTCCATGTCCAGATCCTGGTTTTTTTATTGATGGTCATCGATACAACCATTCTTTCCAACATGGTTTTTTTTTCATGTTTACTTGCGAAAAGGGAAAGTCTTTGATTGGAATTTTTTTTATTACATGCAATGATGGACGATGGGATCAGATGACGCCAACATGTGCCTTGAAAATTACAGACAACTGTACATTTATACAACCATTTTTTTGAATATTAATATTTGTAGATGTAACTGCAATATATTCGTTTTTTTTTAATTAAATATTTTAATATTAAAAAACAACAACGACAGCTTTTTTTGAAAACCAAACTTAATAAAAACGAAAAAAGTATCAACACTTTTTTTTTAACTGTGATTTCCCAGCAAGCTGTGGTTTAAGTCCAATTTTTTTCAGAGCCAGAATGACTAGAATGGTGGGCGGTAACAAAGCTGGCCGTGGAACCTGGCCTTGGCAAGTTGGAATCCATAAAACTGAMTTTTTTTGTAAGTTYTCTTACTACAATTTTATGACAGCACCCCAAGTTTTTTTGAAACCGCTGAACTCATCGACGTCCGTGGATATTTTGTTGATTTTCAAGCTTTTAAACATTAAAAAATTATTTTGATCTCCATATTTTTTTTTGTCAATCAAACTTTTGTTTAATCAAACTCCCTAGGGAATTTTTTTTYCATAGACGCCTGGGCACGGGTAGCTCAAGCTCTTTACTTGAGAGAATGTATGTGAGTTTATGTAAACCGTCGATTTATAGCATTTTTTTTCATTAACATCATCATTTATATGACGTAATTACACAGGAATTTTTTTTATCATCACGATTTTGAGAAGTTCTGATTTTTAAAAGCATTTTTTTAAGAGGTCCTAAATTTGCATAGTCGGACGGGAAGGAGTTAAAGTTGCATCACGTGTTGTGTTTGTATTCCAGGAAATTTGGGCCTTTTTTTTAGTGGTGCATTAATCGGAAAACAATGGGTTTTAACAGTATTTTTTTGTTTCTATGGTATAAATGGCATCACACTGAAACCAGAGATTTTTTTCCTTCCACCAGCAAAGTAAGTAAATACCAATAATCACTATTTTTTTAATATTTCAGGAAGACACAGGCTGGAGTCAGTGTACAACCTGCAGATAGGTACAGATTCTAGTAATTTTGTCTTAGCMAAGACGATTTTTTTCGACAAATCAAGAGCAACAGAGACGTTCAGATAATATTATTTTTTTTCAAGATGTCTGGCAGATGTAGAAGGAAAGATAAACTTATTTTTTTTAAGACTAGAGGTTTTGCATCAGCTAAGTACAGTCCGCATTTTTTTTGGGACTATACAAACAAGAATCTAGGACAAAGAGGAGCCTTTTTTTCTAGTGAGACTGGTGGTAAAGGACGAGACTACCATACAGTTTTTTTCGATATGCAAAGTTATTAAATGTCCGAAACGTTTGTGTCTTTTTTTGATACACCTTAAAGCTAGGCGATGATCACTTGAAGGTCATTTTTTTAGGCCAGGTTGACATCGAACCTGATGCAATATACATCCATTTTTTTTTTAGCAGGACATTATATGAGAACGATATTGCTCTCATTTTTTTTTAAAAGGAAGTGAACCTAGGCCCGTTCGTTCGTCCCGTATTTTTTTTAAAGAAAGGTGAACATTTACTGCAGCCAGGCGAGCATGGTTTTTTTGCAGGGTGGGGTGCAACACTGGTTGTTCAAGTAGGCCAATTTTTTTCTCCGAATAAAATATATTCCACGGTATTACGGCATTCAGCATTCATGGTCCAAAACAACTTAACCTGTCATAAAGCAACCAAGTTTTTTTTTAATCCTAACGTCACTTTCTGCGCGGGAGATGGAAAAGGCTTTTTTTACACGTGCAAAGGTGACTCCGGCGGCAGCTTT